CGTAAATTTTGCACAAAGTGCATTCTGAGAGCTGGCATTCTTTCCTTTATCATATTTATCATCACATAATACTCTTTTTGAGTATCCCTCTTCATCCAGCCCCTTCATCCAACAACAATTAGATTTATGAAGGCAGGAAGGGTTCTTCTTTGTTATTCTTTATTGTGCCAGATTCATTACAAAATATTGGTATATGGGGAATGATATTTAAATAGAAAGACATACAGTTATATTGTAATGGATATAATTTTAATTACATTGAGCATGCTGATGATGATCATATTTCTGTTCTATCATTGGTGTTACTGTCAACATGATTGCTGTGGTCATAAATAAAAATGGTATTATTAGCATTTATATAACTTCCTTTGATCTATTTTATTTAACAATTCTTCTCACATTCTGTTTTGTTCCTAAGATGTACACAAATTCTCACCTCAATGTCTGTTTTTTATCTATACCACCACATTCTAACCACATTACTTCCTGTGCCCTGTTATTTTCAGTCCAGAACAGTTAAAAATCATAGATGCAAAGTCAGAGAACTTTTCTCCAACAGGAGATGTGGGAACTAAAGGGAACACAGAGCCCTGAGGAGAATGTATCATTCCCTGGGCCTCAGAACATAATATTCTGGGATGTTGACCACCGCAATGTGCTTAGCTCTGGAGATGACTTTAAGTGATGGGAGAAGGAGCATAATTCATTATGGTTTCCTATTTGCCTAAAAACCAGGAAATCTAGTTGTACTCTTTACTGAAAAACAATGATCTGTCTATATTTCAGAAGCCCAGACATGGTTATCCAACCAAGCCTTGCATCAATATCCACTGCACATTCAACTCCTCTCTCACTGGGGGCTGGCGGTGAAAGAACAGGCTTATTTCCTTCCTGGGGACTGCCATAGTACATTAGCTCACAGGAAAGATTGAAGCCAACATGGAGAAAACAACTGAAAACAAAAGTATGCCTGAGAGTACATGCGTGGTGTGTGTGTGTGTGTGTGTGTGTGTGTGTGTGTGTGTGTGTGTGTCTGTGTGTGTGTGTGTGTGTGTATTTATCAG